AAATTCTTCCGCCAAGTTGGAGTAATTTCATTCCCATTCTGGTACAATTGGAGCAGGATCCAAAGCCCAGTAAAGTCAAGGTTAGAATTTCCATTGATTTCTGAGGAGCCTGGATCAGATCCTAGATCACATTGTCACTGCAGCAAAACCCAGCCGTGTTGCAGTGTACCCACCTGCTTCCAAAGTCTCAGCTCTGGCCGTTCAAATCCATTGCAGGTACAATCTAGGTTATTCCAGCATTTACTTGGTGCAAGGCTAATAAGTACTGTTTTATCAAAATCAGCAATACTGCTCCTCATTAGTAAATTAGGCTAACTAATGCACACTTTTTATTAGGACAATTTGTCTCCTTAAGTCAAAATCAAGTGTCAAAATCCCTATTCTATCAATCAGTCCAGTGCCCTCCTGGACCAGCTGTGAACTAGGGCTGGCTAAAGGCATACAGAAAAAGTGAATGAAGACCTTACAATGTTTTTTAGTGAGGTACTTAGGTTTCTTTTGCAATAATTCAACAAGCTCTGGCTAGGTAAGGGATCATCAGCTTTTATGTACACAAGAAAGAAAGAAGGGAAGAAGGAAAGAAAAAAGGAAGGCAGGCAAAAAGGGAGGAAGGAAGTAAGGAATGGAGGAAGACCCTCTGTTTCATTTATTAATACTTCATATTGATAAATCACAAAACCACAAAAACACAAAAACACAAAAACCTTCTTTAACCTTTGCCTGTTCTCAACAAAATCACCCACCTACAAATTAAAATCCCATCCAGACATTGCTGAAATTACTTTCTTAGGCAGTTCTGTAATGCATATTGTTCTGCACACTAAGAAATTATTTCAAAAATAAGAGACAGATTTTTTTCCTTGTGTGCAAATCAAACCTGAGAGAAATTTCTGGGAAGAGCAAATAATCTTCTGCAGGCAGTACTAGAATAGGTGCCCTAAACAAACCTCCAGAAGGAGCATAATGAGGCAATGATTTATTGCGTGCTATGCAAGTCTCACTGCTGTGAGTGTGTTGTAAGAACCAGAGAAAGGGAGAGGCAGTAATCATGCAGCCTCCTCCTCCTCCTCATGTGTTTCTGGATATTACCTGCTCAGGATATGAGTGTGAGACGGGGCTGCAGCCTCCCTGAGCTGCAGGATTGGCAAAGGATCTTTGTGCTGCAACATTTGTCTTGCATTTATGGCACCATCTCCCACTGCCTAAAAAAATTTTTTTAAATCTGTGTATGGATATTCTGAAACTTTGCACAAATATAAAATGTCATTTGTGTTGGATGTGTTATTGCTCAGTGTGTTCCAAAAAGGATTTTCAGAAATGTTGCCATCAGCAGGTAGAATCCTGGATATTTCAGAAGGGTAAAACTTCCCTTGGCTGCAAAAGGGGCAGCATTTTACCTTGGCTTAGGGACTAAATACAGACAACAAATTCTACCCACAGAAATACTTGTGAGAAAATCTTGGTCCTGAAGTACTAGAATCAATTAAATGAAGAGCAGAAATATGCAATGTAACCAGCATTGCACCAATCAATACAAATCAACATGAGCCTGACCCTGTATGTCTTGTATTTGCAATTAGCTGGGCTTTTTTTGCAATTTAAAATTCATTTAGGTTCTTGTACTGACTGTCAGATTGCTTGCACTTATACCCATATTCCTCCCAATTTCTCCAATTTAAAATACAAAAAAAAACAAAAAATCACCACAACTAAAAATTAGTCTTCAAATGTGTCTGGTAAGTTATTTATCATAAATAAACATAGAAAAGATTACCTGCAGACTACTTGTGCTCAGCTTGCCCCCTACCTCCCCCCCGCCCCAAAAGGCTAAATCAGTGAAATAAATTAATTGTTATGAATTATTCAGCTCTACCTGTGGCAATGAAAAATAGCAAGAGCATTAGGATTCTTCTTTGTGTACTAAGCCTCTAATTTATAGAGAATGCATATTAATAAAACACAGGATATTCATCAATATTCAAGTCACTGGCTGCCTGACTATTTAATCCAAAATTACCAGCCAGCTCAAAATTCTTACTAGTTAATCATGTAATCTAAGCCATTCTGATATTGATGGTTAACATTAATTGCCCAACTGCCATTTATAAAAACCTCTCCTACATCTTCCCTTTGCCTGGCAGAGAACCTTTGACACGTCTAACTTTTCAAACAAGCTGGAGTAGGTCAGCTCATCCAGCCTGTTCTCCAGCCCAAAATGTTTGTTTGCTTCATTCTCATGACAGGGATATTGTCTCCTGTTGTGGTTTTGCTTTTGAACATAAACAGTAAAAACTGTCCTTCTTTATAAGGATCTTTGATATGTTCCCCTCATGCTGCAGATGTTCTGCAGGTGGAGAGAATAACTAGCTAGATTTTGTTGTCTGCACAGATTGTGTCATCCTTTACAATGGAAACAAAAGTGTTGAGATCAGGAAGGCCAAAACAGTCTCATCTGCCAGCCACGTACTCTACCAAAAGCCACCAACCACAGATTTCCTCCCCCAAACCTGACTTCACACTCCAAAGGGGATGGCTGGCAAAGAGCAGTGACACCTTCAGACATTGCCAGCTTCTGCTGCATGACCTGCTCTGCACAAATCAAGGTGAAATGTAAGAGCTGGGGGGAAATTCTCATGTGATAACAGCCAAAATTTAGGCTCAAACTCCCAAACTTTATCATACCAGTAAGAAGTGCCGATGGAGGGGATGGCAGTGACATCTTCCTGAAGCAATGTACCTGAGCCTGTCTTGGTACTTATCATCTGAACTTTTTCTATTCTTCTTTTTTCTTTTTATTAACTTAATCAAATTAAAGTTAAAAAAAATAACAGAAAAAAAACCCCAAAACTCCACAAGCAAACAGAAACCTTTCAGTTATTCTAACCAAAAAGTTAGGATCCTGGAAGTTAACTGCAAACCAGCAAACCTGCAAAGAACTCAGTGTCGCAGAAATTTCAAACTACAAATATATAGAGTCATGTAAGTGCCACTGTATAATTTAAAAAATGATTTTTTAAAAACAACACTCTTACCCCTTTCAAATTATACCCTTGAGTCATTTAAACTGAAATTTAAGTATCATGGAAAAATTTTGCAAAAAATGGGTGCCTTTTTGAGTAAAGAATAGTCTTCTTTGTAATACAGTAATTCTCTGGATTGAGAAAAATTCCTTGCGTTTTATGATTTTGGCCCTCTGGAATCCAGGAGCTACCAAGAAGTTAACAAGTGTATGTTCCCATGAAGTGAGGGCTGCTGAGCAATACCTGGTCAGATAAGACTCGCGGCGTCGCTTCTACTCCCTGACTGCTCCAGGGTAAAATCACCCTCCTGGCCTTGAGACTTTTGTAAGGGAGCCCACCACCCATCCCGGCCCTGTCAGTAAGAACTTGAACCTGGAGGTTTGCAGGAGGCAAACACTCAGCGTGCAATGGCAGCGTCTCCCAGACCATTCAAAACTCCAGGAAATATTTGTGAGGACATTTTGCAGCCCTCGTGCGGCTTCCCCGCGGTGAGCTCCGAGCTGCTGAGAGGAAACAACGTGCTGACAGCGAGGAGAAAATGATGACTGCACGGTGAAACACGGCCTCAGAACAAGCAAAGACTAAATAAACTCGCAGCATACCTCTGTAATTCTTTGTGGCGCAAAAACTGGCTTGGGCCTTGTCTGAACTGGGCTTTTACCTAAGTTGGAAAACCATGTTTAAATTAAATTTAAAGACCATTCTTCTTAAAAGCACTTCTACAATGCTTTGGCTGGACAGTGTATTTTTCTAACCAATGTTTACATAGTTTGACCCATTTTCACGTCTTTGCTTTAGCTGAAACTATTAATTAAGCTATTTAAAAATTAAATTGAGTATATGCCTGCTTTGGACTGGATCTCAGGCTTCATTTAATTGTTGCTTCTTGCCCTGAATTTGGCTGTGAGGGTGTGTGAATCTGTCTCCATTTGGAAATGAACACAAAATTACAAATATATTTCATACAGATTATGAGATTGAGTAAATACTGAAGACATGCCCCACTTTAATTGTTTTAATTGTTTGGGATATATCCCCATGATATTGAAAACTTACATCTGCAAGAAGCACGATGACATGAGCCCAGTGTAGCTCACTGTGGAAAGCTGTACAATTCTAAATGGCTGAGCTGGTGTTAGAGATATAAACCAAAGTTCAGTTTCTGTGAGCACAAAAACAGTCACACATTACATTTCTTGTAATTTATATGCCACAATCTTGCTGGACTTTTGAGTGGAAAATATGCCTAGAAATTAATGAAAGGGGGAAATCTCTATTTTTCTATTTGCAACTATAGTAATTCAGGGCTTTCTCTCACAGAGGGGCCAATGTGCAAACTGAAGTCTGATTTAGATTTTCCCATTGAATGATTTTTCTGTACAGAAATCTCATGAAGACACACCGATTCTTTAAACTTCACTGTTGATGCTGAAATTATGCTGTGTATCAAAACTACATCAAACACAGTAACTGTACTTATTTCCACCAGAAAAATGTGATTATTTCACTGTCATTTGCATTACATTTTTTCCCCTCTATAATGCTGACTTGATAATTCCCTTAGGTCTGGACACCTCCAAGTACACTTTTTCAGTAGAAAGAAAGCTTTCATTTTATTTCATAATTTTTTCCTCCTTGATTTGAATGTTATAATTGGGTTGGAGACATATTTGTTGCTAACTTCATGTTTTGCCAGGCTCCATGAGCAGCATCTTTTAATTTGTCTCTTTTCAATGAACCTTTTGACTTGATAAAAGTGGCTCTAAGGTATTTTTACAAAAGAGGCCAACAGAGCCAGTTCATTTTAAATCCTTCTCTTTAAAGTATCTCATTTCCTTACTATTTCTTAATAGAGGCACTATCCTGCAATGTCATAAAGAATGCGGCAGTTGACTTCAGTGGGACCAGGATCACTCTGTACTGTAATTAGTTCTATATTTCAAAATATTAGAGGTCATTTTCTTCCTTTTTTTTTTTTAATCTGAGAAAAGAAAACATTTAGAAAAAAAAAGCTTTCAAGTGTGACTGTCAGTGGAATACTAAAAATAAGTTGCAGGCATTCCAGTTGCTACAATTTATGTTTCTAATGAAATTTTCCTCTCCTCATTTACTGCAAATTTTTAATGTAAGCTTTTACAGCCATTGATTCAGTATCTTTAATCTTCCACCAATATTAGATAGAAATGAAACAAACTAGGGAAAATCTATCTAGTTATAAAGCACAGTGTCTATAAAGTTGTTCAGTTCATCCAAAACTGCTTTTTTTCTTTTTCCCAGTGGGTTGGATAGGATTAAATTATATTTTGAAATACTGTTAATACTATTCTGAGATTAATACACTTGTAATTAATAATAAGTTTAAAATATTATGATGCCTCTGGAGAAATCAAAGGATTCAGTGTCAATCACCCTGACTACCAGCACTGGGCAAGATCCCACAGCGCCAAGTTCTGGTTCTTTTAATTGCATTCAGCAGCAGAAGCTACTCCCTGAGACTGGTAGCAGAATTCAGCTCCAGCCCAGACCAGGGAGGGAGCACATAATTTCCAACTACTCATTTAGATGGGATCTGTCAGGGTTTGCATGAGCAAAGGCCTGGGAGCCAGTCTCACAGGGAGAAAATAGCTGAGCTCCCACACCCCGGGTCACGGCCTCTCCGTCCTTCCCTGTGCCAAGGGCTTGCCGCAGGCTCTGCCAGCACCACACTCCCTGTTTTGCAAAGAGGGCTGTGCTGCTTCACTGGGAGCTGTCAGGCTCCATCCCCTGCCCCAAGCTCCTCTCCCCAGCCCCATAAACACCCCGGAGCAGACACCCTTTGTCCACACAGTCTATTTATAAAACCCCACTTCCAACATGTTTCGGCTGGTGTAGGTCAGCTCCACGGCTCCAATTATGGCAGCCAAGCTGTGCAGCAGGAAGGTGCAGCACCCGAAGAAATGGTTCAGGGCCAATAACAACTTGACCCCAAGCAGCCCCAGCAGAGCAGCATGTCTGACCATGCCCTTCGAGCGGGGCAAATACGTGCTTTTCCCTCATGACCATTGTGTCAGTGCTAAAAATATAAAGCACTTCGACCCTACAGAAAGCTCGAATGTGTCTTATGGACAGTCCCTTTAAAATCCACAGGTCTTTAAGGCAGAATGAAATCCCGCACCCACTGAAGCAAATGGAAAAAACTCTCCTGCCCTGCAGGGTGCCAGGAGTTGCTTCCCAGGGCAGGAAAGTTAAGAACATGTGCAAGACTTTGGCAGGACAAGAGACCTATTTTTGGACACTGCTTATTCTAGGTATTTCTACCGTTCCCATTAACACTGTCCCAGAACACGTGGGAATCATTCATGCATTTGCTAATCTTGAAATGAGAAATGAAGGTTGCCCAAATTCCCTGGGTGAGGAACAGCAGCAGAGGCGTGTCTGTCCATTTGGGTGTTGCTCCCAAATACGGAGTCAGGCTGGGACATGGATTAACCATGTGGCCCACAGCAGCAGGGCATGGGGTTACAGACCCTGGACACCTCCTCTGCCATAACTGCCCATGCATTTACCCTTCCCACACCCTCTGCTTGGGCAGTACCAGATGAGCCCCATCAAACACCCGATGGTGTCTCTGCAGCTGCCATGCATGGACAGGCACTTCCACATCTCTATGGAAAGCAGTGTGTACTCCTGCTCTGCTGCTGAGACCTGACCTGTGTGCTCCCCACTCCACTTACTTCTCATCACGCACAGTTTCATGGCTGGGATGCACAGGAAGGTCCTGCTAGGACATGACTGGTTAGTTCGCACATTCCCAGGGCTTTATCCAGCAGCACATGCTAGTCTCTGGGCAGAAAGGTCTCTCTCTGCTGCTTCCAACAATGGGTAAAAGCATTTCCGCTGCAGTGGCCAGCGTGGTCTGGAGCAGTGGGGAAGGGAGCACCCCACATGGCCATGGCCATGGCTTGGCACACAAAGCACCCTAGACATGCACAGCCATCATCACCACCTCCTCTGGGTACAAGGGAGACTTAGGGGCTACATGCACGTGCATTTTTTTCTCCTCCATCTCATCTATATCTGGAACAGGGAAGGGGTGTGATCTCCTGACAGTGTGATAAAAAGTCTCTATTTATTCTGTCTGGAAGGGCGTTGTGTGCAGTGAGAGCATCTCAGCTCACGTGTGTGCTCACAGGAGACATCATTTGGGGTGCTGACAGAGGAGCCCTGGTGCATCTCCCCGACCATGGGGGTTAACCCACAGATCAAAGCCAGCAGAAGGAGAAATTACTTCAAATCTACCATGCCCTCTTCCAGAACCCTAATACTGTCCAGAAGAGCCAGTGCTGAGTTTCAGTGGGCTGGAGGTGTGGGCACAGGCTCCCTTCTGCTGACTCGACTGAGCCCCAGGGCCCCTCAGGGCTGGCGGTGACGGGGGCACTTCTGTCAGCACTCTGCGGAAACAAGTTAATTGACATATGCTAACACACTGTTAAACATAACACTGTCGTGTTTAAAAATATACTAGCTGGTTGGATCAAATGCATTTTAAAACATGTCTGCTTTTTTTTTTTTTTCTGAAAAGGATGAGGTTTTGGGTAACATGTGCTAGAAAAAACATTTTTGAACATGGTTGAGATGCAGGAGATGTAAGAGGAAGAGCAAATGTCCTTTGGCTGAGCATAATCTGCAGGGAAAGTTAACTTAAAAACAGGTTTTCCCTGATAATGTTAATTTGTTTACATTGTCCAGTTCACAGGATTTCAACATGAACATGCAGCAAAATGTCTGTTTGCAGCATAATACCCATGTAATCCATCTGCAGCATTTGTAAATTCAGCCCTCAGGCACCACCGCAATAAACACCATAATCGTGTAATACGATAATAACAACTCCCCAAAAGCATTACAACTCTTCCTGTCAATACAGGTATCTCTTTAATGACATGCTAAAACTGAAACCAGAATTAAAATCAAGATGTTGTTTTGTGTCTTTAGCTATAGTTGTAATATACATCCAGGGAGAGGACTATTCTCTCTGACTGAAAGGAAGCCAGGTTCTGACTCTGCCCATTTTTCTTTCTGTAAATTGCTACTGCTGGAAAACACACAAACCATTCCTCTTTGCATGCTCTTCTGCTGCAGGCTGGTCCTCCAGCACTCTTCAGCCCAAGGATTCTACAAAGCTAAAAGCTGCAATAGCTTTTTACTTCTAGTTTGAACCCAGGATCCTCAGCCACACAATCACTTCCAGTGAAGCTCTTCACACCATCACAGGGCAGTGAGTGTGATTTTGGCTAGTGGGTGAAATAGCAAGTGCAAGAGGACACTAAAAGACAAAAGACTTCCTTTCCATGCAAATGCACTGTGGGACAGCATATAGAAAATGAAATAGCAAAATCTAGGTCAGTGAAAAGCTTATGGTATGAAGAGACAATAAGCAGAATTGCCTCTAAATATAAGAAATACTTACTCAGGTTTTTACCAAAAGCATTGAGGGTTCTTTAAACAATAATGCTGGGGCCTGATTTGTAAATCTGTATGTTCAAATATCATGGTGCAAAATGAAGTCAAGATTCAAAAATGAAATTATACATCAAATTCCTGGCAATGAATGTACACAAATATATGTTGTGATTGTCCATCATGTGTGCCCGAGTCAGTATAATTGTAGAGCTGTAGGAGGGGTTTTCAATCAGGCTTTGGGGATGAAGTGCAGAGCTCAGACCCATCTCTGGGCTGAAATCACAGAGGCTACAGAGAATTTGCATGGATACTGCTCAGAAATTACATTTCTGTTAGAATAGGTGAGGGTGTTTTGAGGTTTACATTGCATTTTATGCACAGGGTTTAAAGCACAGGAGAAATTAAGACAAAGATGCCTATGGAGATGAAAGAAACCTTCAGGGCACTTAAAAGCAACCTATCATTACAGAGATGCCCAGGCCAGGGTGTCCTCAGCTCCAAGCATTGCTGTCACATGCAATGGCAACATCTGTGCTCAGGAATGTCCTGTCCTGGCACTCCAGTGATGGACATTTCATCAGAGAGCTGGGGCCAAGAAGACCCTGATCATTTGAGTTTGGACTTAATGATGTGAGAGGTCTTTTTCAACCTGAATGATTCTGGTATTTTGTGTGCTGCAGCCTAGTAGCTTGGCCCTGTATATCTGTGAGTTATGGAATGGATAAGAAGACTGAGGTTGGAGCCTAGAGAAGTTGAACACATTCTCTCAGCACTAGCTGCTATCAGAAAGAGAAAGGAGAAAAAAGAAAGGAAAAAGTTGAGGATGAACACTTATTGTAGGCTCCTGCCCTTACCACACTGTGCATGAGAGATCAGAGGGCTGTCCTGCCTCTGCCCTGGGGCAAATGCTCCTGGTGAGAGGATCTGGTGAAAATTTGTAAAGTCCTCTGGCTATGCTATTCTCCAGAGAAGATTATATTATAAGATTTTTTTTTTTTTTAAGAGCAAGCAAGGAAAAAGCCTGCAAGCATATGAACTTCCTTGATCTGAAGCTCCACAAATTCTTTCCATGGTTTTGGTACAGCACCTTATGTGCAGGGTGGAAGGGGAAGCTATTGAGTGTTGAATTACAGAGGGGAAAAACATCTCAAATTCCTTACTATTTATACTCACAACTTTCCCAAATCATTATACACAAATCTCCTAGCCTCAGCTGAACTGCTCACAGGTTACAGGGCCAAGAAAGAGGTGGAGCCTTCATGGCTCACTCTAAGCCTTTCAGAAACTTGGAGTTCCTAAAAAAAATTAAAGCAATGAAATTTACCATGCCAGGCAGAGAAAATTCAACCTCTGCAGCGCCCCACAAGAACAGAATTAATATACAAGACAGTAGGAGGTTGCTTTCATAACAGGGAGCATAGGTTGCTTATTTGTGAGAAGTTTTCTGGGACTACCTTCATTGTTAAGCTGAGGCTGACACTGGGTACAGAGAGACAGAAATTTGACAAAAGCATTGAGTGATTGGGGGTATTTGAGAAAAAAATCTATTCTGGTAGTCCAGACACTAGGCTGGGACTTGTTAAGTTGTGAACTTGTTAAATTCCGGCTCCACCAACGGCTTCCTGCATGACAAGAAACCAAGAGCCTATTTCTGCTGGTACAAATTCTCCTCGACTTTCAGAGACACCACGGCCTTCATGTGGCAGCTCCTCACCCATGAAACTGTTTGAGGATCTGCTTCCCCTCCTGTACATGAGCTCCACCAAACACCCCTGGGAAGTATCAGCAAACCAGGGGGCACAGAGGGGCTTTAACCTGACGGGACAGGTCTGGGTGCAAGCCCTGAGAGATTCATCTTTGCACAGTTCTTCTCCACCTCCTCACACAAGCCTGCTTTTGGGGTGGCTTCAAGCCTTGTTTGAATTTTTAAATTCCTTTTGCCACTCCTGCAACCAGTGGATGGGGGAGAAGTAAATGGTTTTCAGATTTTCATTTCCTTGTAATTACTTATGGTGTTTCCTTGTTTTGCCAAAGTTTCATTAATTTTTTTTAGCCCAAACAGTGAATTAAATTAAGAACACCCATTTCTACTTTTGTTTCTGGACTATTTTCACTTCACGGCTTTCAAGTTTCAGCAAGTGGTCTTATTTTTGGATTTTCAACATTGAACAGGGCAATAGAGACATTAAAGTAAGAAATATGCTAATTGGACTATCTAATAAATGTAGAAGTTATGAGAATTCTCTAATCACATCAGATTTGGAGGCTCCCACCTCTACCCTAATTAAAAATCTCAGTCCTATGTGATTTAGCATGAGGCTCACCAATACTGCTCACAAGTATCATGTGCAAGAAAGAAGCACCCCAAGGGCTCCTTCAGAGGGACAAATGGCATTTCCATGAGCAATTTTAACCTCCTAAACTGCAACCATTTTACAAGAAGGACCCAGGAAACTCCACCAACAGAAAGAGACGTGGACTCCAGGACTGTATGTGGGTCCCTAGGAGGACACATGAGTTCCTCAAGAGGATTGAAAGGAAGCTCCCCATGGAGTGATTCAGTAGGGCAGTTTCTGTCCTCTTCTCTCTCTGAGGGAGTTCCTGCAGGTAATGCACAAGTCCTACAGTCCAAACTCTTCAGAGAGTATCTACTAACCAAAAAGTCTGCAGCCAAGAAGAGTGCTGATGGCCAGGGAGATAGCTGCTCTCCCACCTTTTCCATGCAGGAGGGATGGACCTGAGCTCACAGCTTTGCTGCCATGCACAAGGTGCCAGTGGAGCCAGCGGGGTCTAATGAAATGTGTAGCCATTGAACTCTTATGTTTATCCACACCCAAGTGCTTTTTAAACATGGACAGTTGAATTACCCAAAAAGCTCCTTAGCCAACACAATCTCAGATTTCCAACTCTTAAAAATAGAGTTTTTCCCCCATTAAACAAGCAACTATAACTTTACTAGAGGTCTGGAGCCTTTTGTGCTGAGCTTCGACCTACAGCAGTATTTCCCTGCTAGAAAAAAGCAGGCTGGAGTTGGTGACATAACACCAAATATACAGATGGGACCACACTATAATTAGTAAGGGAATGTCATTCCTGCCATCTTTGCTTCGTTTGTAACTGTGCCTGTAAGCTCTGGGGAATGGTGTGCATTTCACACAGTCTGCACAAGAGCGAGGATTGCCAGCTGTCCCAGTTCTGGTGGGATACCCTTGGTCCTCTGACCCGAGGCTGGCAGAGATGCCAGCAGTGCTGCTGGAGAGCAGTGCCCCTCACCAGGCCACTGCCATGACCCCTGGTCCCAGGGCAGAGGGGAGGGATTTCTCTGCATGGAATCAACAATTCAGCTCCCTCTAAAACACCTCTGCTCCCATCCACAGCACCACTGCCCATTGCTCCTTGATAGGTTCCTTCACACGCACCCAAAAACATCCTGTTGCCCTTCACCAAGCCAAATGAGCAGCCTGGGCCTAACAAGAGAGGCCAATAACTCTGTTCCTCTCCACACTCAGCCTGCTCCCAGGAGGGAGAGGATTTATTCAGAGCAAATATGGGGATTTTCACTGGAACTCTGCTTTTCAGCATCTAATCACTATTTTTAAATCTCTCTATTTGTTCCAGTAAAATACCAAATCAATGTTTAAGGTTTTACTGCTTACTTTAAACATTCTGAATAATGTTAAATCCAGTTGTCTTTTGAACATTTTTTCATCCTCTGCAGGCACTTGGTTGAAAAACTTACTGTTGGCTTTGCTCTGTCTGTGCAGTCAGGTGAATTTGTCTGGTTTTTCACCAGGCTGCACAAACCGGTGAAACGAGCCAGGGGAGCAAACAAATCCATAACGTAACATGTTGCTTGTCTTACGCACAAAATTTAACTCAGCTTACTCGAGGAGGCCAATTCATGCTACTGAGTCCAAAGGGACCCTGCCTCTGAAGGTCTCAAAGCATGTTAGAAACATTAAGTTGTACAGGTTTTTAACCTGAGGGATTTTAAACAGAACAGACCCCTGTGATCATCTCATCAGAGTCTTCTTCATGATACATAAATAATTTCCCTGTGTATTTCTTGCACAAATGCTGAATTTTGATATAAAGTAGAGCACATTTTTCTGGTAAGGACTTTAGCCTTGATGAAAAGCTTCAAATGATGCTCCAAGCACCACATCCTTATGTAAGATTTCCTGATTTTTTCTTTTTGTGCCATGAAAAGTCCACCACCACAACTCCTCCCACAGTGCCACCATATTAATTGTAGAGGTGGGTAAACTGAGGCATGGAGGAGTCAGGACTTCCCCAAGGTTACAACAACACCCAAGTGTGGTTTCCCACTGTTATTTTTATTGAGGTTGCACTGAAAGGGCTGCCCAGTGTGAGCTTCCTGTCCCTGCTGTCACCTTCCCTCTGCCCCTGCCCGTGTCATGTCCCTGCTCCCTGCTCAGCCCCAGGTGAGGGAGGCACCCCAGTGCTCCCAGCCCCACCTGCACCCCCAGGCTGTGCTCCCTGAGCCCCTGAGTCCTGCCCCGTTTGTGACAGAGGAATCAGGCAGCTCCTGCTGAGAGCTGGAGCCAGAGTCCAGGAGTCGGGAGACCTGGGGTCTGCTCACAGCTCTGCCACTGAATTTTTGCAGATCTGTAGGGAAATCACTTATTTCCCCGGGATTTCCCCATAAATTTGACAGAGTGCCTTGAGATTCCCCAAGGAAAGGCACTGTTCAAGTACAAAGCTTAATTATGATTGTTATAATATAGTCATGCCACTAATTCCCACTAAGAACTGCAAATCGCTCCCATTCCGCTGCTCCATCCCCCATGCTTGTCAGTGCTGGTGGACAATTAATTCCTCAAAAAGGAATATATTAAACACATGTGAAATCTTTCTTATTCACAGGATATCTCTGAGCATATTGCAGTTCCCTTCAAACATATTTGTGATCTGAATGCGTCAAGTGATGTATTTCCACATTTTTTTTTAACAGCTTGACAGAATTTATTCAAAATTCAAGTTGTGACTGGCCAAATAAATCTTGCAACATCCATTCTATGCCTGTGATCAACCAAATTCTTCTGCCATGTAGAAATTTAAAATTCATTTTCTATAAAGCTTGCATAGTTGTCTTTGGGAATCGTATTGAATGAGCTTATTTCCCCCCAGTTAAATTTAGTCATTTTGAAATCCACAGGAAGCAAGCTCAGGAGGAGTTTAAAAGGCTGAGGTGAGTTCATTGAAAACCTCAAATGAATTAAAATACATTGAAAATACCTTGCATTTTTGCCCTGCTATAAACATTAAGGCTGCCACAACAAATGCATCAGCCTCTCCCAGCCAGGCTGAGCCACAACTACTGTGACTTTTCTTAAGCCAAGGGGTTAATGAAACCCCTGCCACAAGGGTTACAGGATAAATTCAGCTCTATGGCCATTGCTTAGAGAACATTTGAAGGGCAGTTCAATATCCCACCTACAAAAATCAACCCCTCATCTCTCAGCCCTGCAACCTGAACAAGGAGCTCTGAGATCTATTTGTGTAATATTAGACCTGAAAAAAATTACAAGTTGTGATGAAATTAAAGACATCCAAATTTTTAGCCATTCTCTGCTGATAAAGGCTCTATTATTACCATTTACAAAGGGGAAACACAGCCAATTATAAGCTACTTCTGGCACATGCCAGGCCTCGAGTAGAAGATAAGCCAACACAGCAGAGCTTGCAGCTGGAAGCCCAGAAATGTGAAAATGAGCTGACTCATGGAAATATCCTCATATAAAATATCGGTTGGTTATTTTTCTCTGCCTCCTTTCTGTGTGTCTTAGGAATGATATATGAATTGCCTTATTTACTTTGTCCCATAAAACTTACATTTTTTTATTAATGTGCTGCCAGCTCCAAGAGCAGTCAGTGTGGGAGCAGATGGAGGGAGGGAAGCAGGGGGGAGAACTGCTCTTTTGGGGGCACAGCATGGGAAAGGTCCCCTGCAACACTGCAGGTCCAAAAGCACAGTGTCAAATTTTCACTGAGCTTTGTCCTGCTCCAAGAAAGAAAACCAGCTCCTCATTCTGCCCTGATTTCACCAAAACCAGGAGGCTGCCTGCACTGACATTACACTGGGAAGAATTAGTGTAAAATGAGGTTATGCTCCTACCTGAAACCAAATTGTGAACAAAAGTGACTTCCTCTGGTTTTGCCCAGTGCTCCCCATCCCAAAGTTCAGCCCCAGCAGCAAACCTGATGCCCTGCTCTTCCAGCCCTGCTGTTGCCCAGCTGGCAGGGGATGTCACTGGCCATGGGCTGCCATCGGCAGAGATAATGACTGAACTTACCTGCCTGGCACACCAGTGTGGAGCTTTTCCCTGCACTCACCCAAATTTCCATGAGGAAATGTAACTTTTGAGATGTCTGTCCCCTTTCAAGCCCTGTTAGAAAGCATTCACATGTTGTTAGGAGCGGCTTGGGTCCAGGTGGGTGGGTGGTGGGATGCTATATGCCTCATTTCCTTAGGAAATGAGGTTAAACAACCCTGCCCTCCCCCTTTCTACTGCACTATTGAATTAAGGATGGTGAATTCTCATTATGAATATAATTAAAAGCAACAGCCTCATCTAACAATCTATTTTTATCCATTCCTCACCTAGACGAGCAGCAGAAGAAATTAAAATCTGAAGGGAAGAACCACAGTCGGGTAGAGTTTTGCTCTCCACTGGATGTAACTGTGTTGAAACACAATTTCAGTAACACAACCTTTCTTAAAAATTACTGTCCAAAAAAGACATGCTTTGGATGCTTTGTTTTTCCTGGGAAACCCATGTTTAACAACTGCAAGGGCACAGACTGGGAAGATATTTTCATTTTATGAGGGAAGAAGGCATGAGCTTTGCAGCATTTCTTGCACCAGCTGCCGGCCCCTGTGGCGGCAGGGTAGGTAATTAAAAAGGACATCGTGTAACAGATAAATGCAGGATAGTAAGTAGTCATTACTTGATATATAGTATATCATCTATTATTAGAGGCTAATAATTCTCTAACCTATTCATGTTAGTCTTTTGTCCGAGGAGCTGGCTGCTTGGCACACTCTAAATTTTTCAACATAAAATTTACTCGATGTTACAACTCATATCTAATCCCAAATTTCTGTGCATTTCACTGCAGTATATCATGTAGAGAGGTAAAAGCTCAGAACTAAATCCTTTGCAAAAGGAAGAATGAGCCAACAAAACTCCATGTTTTCACTTTCCTGCCAGGAAAAAAAAAAAACGGTACTTTGAATATTTTTCTTGGTTGTAATTTTATTTTCTCCTTTTGAATGTTGCAATTCTAGACATGCTCAGCTGTACTCTACACAGCACTCAATAATGCACTTTTTTCCTGATATTTTATATTTGTGGAAATAACCTGCATTTTAAACACATTTCTACATACATTTAAATACATTTTTTTAAATGCACTCTAAAGGGAACCAAAGGAAGTGCTATTGTGTTTAATCACAAGGAGCAAAATCCTCAAGTCATGTAAATCACCATTTCACAATCTGCTCTGCAGTATCCTAATTTGGAAAGTGTATCACAGCAAACGAAGCTGAATTTATAAAGCATTCTTTACACGTTCAAAATATTCATGTAACTTAAGAGTGTCAATCTCCATCAGCTGTCCTAGATCACTCCAAGAAATAGAAGTAGAATTTATTTATTTGGAACTTAATTTCCTTTCTTCTAACTACAGATGCTTACTTTTATTTTTCATTTTATTTTATTTCAATTTCTTTCATTTTAGTTCCTTTAACTTTCTTTTACTTTCCTGTCCCTAGTTTTATTTTGTTTTCTTTTGCTTTATTTTATTTTTATTTTTATTTCTAAAGCCCAGTCTAAAAACTTAACTTACACTATAAAAAAAGCCAAGCCACCCCGAAGTACCCAATTACAACATCTCCAGAAGGTTTAGAAGCCAGAACAGCACTGATAAAAAAAGCCACATGGGACGAAACAATAATGCTGTGCTCGCCTGCAGGATCTCTGCTGATGAGCAGCTCTACAAGGACTCCACTGATAAGGGCTCACAGCAAGGAACTGTAGTAGCTGCACCAAAAATGACACCAGATCTCTGCTCCTGTCTTCCAAATTGTTTTCCAGCGCAGCTCTCTCCTGGGAGACGGAGAACACTTGCTGCAGGTTATCGAAACCTCACAATTTCCGTTTGCCTGGCCCTGTCACCAGCCAAGAGCTGGAGATGCAGCAGGAGGACAAAGTCTGCAAACTGCCAGGAGGGGCTGGAGCAGACCTTGAGAGAGGAGCAATGGGACCCTCCCAGCAGCTTCACATGCAAATTGCTCCAAAGAGCTCTGGATTATGGCTGGACCCAACTACAGATTAAAATGAGAGTTAAGTAGTGGAGTTAGGAACAGAGACAGATGGGGAAAATACTCCCCTAGGGATTAGGAAGCATGTGGCATTCAAAATGTGTAATATAATTTTTATGTTGTTTGCCTTGTTTAGGTATCCTTCATAGAAAAGCAGTATTTTGTCCACCAAAGGCTACTAAAACCTACGTGCATTTTTGCAGTGCTGTGCTGCTCGTTTTTTGTCTGTGAGCCTCATGGCATCTGTGCTCATTTGAATCCCATTCCCCACAGTTTTGCCTGGAATTGGCACCAGCCTCCCTCTCCTATAGAGGGATTCTGTATGCTGTACTATAGCTGTTATACTCCACCCCAGAGATTGCTGCAGTTTGGCTCAGCAAGATTTACTTTCAGGTTCCCTGTAAGAGTACAAGCATTTGGGGTCCTTTCTGTGTTTTAGATATGGAATAAACACCCTTTGTTAGGACTCAGAGCAGAAATACAAAGTCGAGAGGCTCTGCCCTGGCTCTTGGAAAGATGCAGGGAAGGTTGAGCACAGGAGAGTGACTTGCTCAGCCAGAGCACGCAGCACTAATGCAATTACAAAAGGTTCATATCTAGAAAGGAAAAGTTTGTGCTGATATTAAAGCAAAAGCAAGGGAGGAAAAAGCCCTCTCAAGTGTGTTAAAAACACTTGACCCACTTCTATGTAAACTGACAGCCCCTTGCTCTTTCCCTAAGATTAGCAGCCTCCACCCCACCTTGCTCGCAGTCTCCGAGGACTTCTAGTAACTTTCTCGCTGTTGTGTTTAGGAGACGGGAAGTATTTTCATATGGCTCAAATATCTGTTAGACCAACAGAATTAGAGGAAAAAAAAAATATTACTTCACTTTCTAACAGATGCACGAGTGCACCTTGGGATGAATGTGTTACGGAGTCCAAGTTAATGCCACCTGCCTCCCAATTACATTTGCTGCATTGTCCCTTGTGGTGTGCACCTGTGACATGCTGGCACAGAGTGGGGACGACTGGAGTGTGCAGGCGTGGACCGAGCCACACAGGATTTTGTTTTGCAAAAGTCTCCCAGCAATTAGTGCTGTGCTTTCTTAAAGCATAAGGGATATTCTGCAGCAGCTGACTTTCTTTCCTCCTCTCGATACGGTGAATTAACACAGAGAAATTGTTGTCTTGTAAAGGGGCAAAGCTGTGAAACTATAATTTAAAAAACTCTTCACCTTAGGATACCAAATGTCCAGCTGGCCAGGGAGCAATCTAACAAGGGAAAAGGTCATTTATGGGCTCCCTGCTACCTCTCCTCACATATACACCTAGTCAGCCAATTAACTACCTCCAGAAATAATTCCCATCAAATTTCAATATGATTTTTACAGCTGAAATAATAGAGAAATCCACAAGACTGTGACTATTTGCAGCAAGAATGATGAACAAAGGAAAGCTTCCAAGGTTTTAGGCTCATTATATTCGTTCCAGTATAACATACTGGTTTTTTTTTTTCTTCTTTCCCCTGGTAGTGTTACAGCTCTTTAAGTGGCTGAACAGCATCTGCACCAAGAGGACCACATGATGAGAAGCAGAAGCAAGGAGAGACAGTATTATGCATATTGTAAGGGTACACTGAGCAATGCACTAGCAGTGACGTATGTACTGACAGGATTAATTTGACATTGGCAAGTGAAAACTTATTTTGTCATTAAGCTATCATAATTATACCATATCCAGAGCCACCGGATGCCCTAGCTGAGAACCCTACATATGCTGCCTTTGCAGTGAGAGGCTAATACAGAATTTTAACATCCATCTCTTTTTGATGGGGTTGGTACAGGAGAACAGATTGGGACACTGATGGTTTGTAAGTACCCCACGACTACCTATGGGTAGTCAAGGTGACAGCGGCACTGGAAAATGGCTGAGGGGCATTTGCAGCCTCTTAATGGGGGTCCTGCTTCCCACAGCCTAAAAATGCAAGAAGACTTCAACAAAATCTAAATCTTTTTGTAATGCAGCCTGGCTAAATACTGTTTCTGATTCATATGTTTTCAGCAAAGAGGATGTTTCCTTGTAAAACAAGGACATGCAGGAAAAATAAAAACATGCAAGTGACATAGGAAAAATTAGCTCTAGAAGTCAGAAAAAGCATGAAGGTCTTTTGCATGTCACTGCTATTCAGAAAAATCAGTCCTTTGTCTCTGCCCCCATTATTTATTTGGACAATTAGATATACTTAAGAATGGAAAACCAGAAAGATACCAGGGCAGAAGAGCTGCTGCTCTGTTAAGGATGTGATATTGCAATATTTATTGCTGCTGAGATAGGAAAAAATAGAATATCCAAAAAAATCTTAAAGTTTGCAGGGTTTAAGAAGAGTAATTTTAGGTTATCTTGAGGTGACCATTTACAAACACAATCAAAATTGTGTAATAAGTAAAAAAATTGGTTTCATTCTTAGTTCATAAACTCCCCTGTCAATGACAAAATATGCTATTAGTGGCCTCAGTACAATTGCGAAAATATTCCTCAGTTGCAATTGAACGTGGTGGGTGTTGGGTTTTTCTTCAGTGTTGTGTGTTGTTGAGTTAAAAATGACAAAGGCCTGGATTTCTTCGTTCTTGCAATCTATTCTTTTCCCCTGACTTCCTGTTTTCATGAAATTTTAATCAGGCATTTAAAATAAATAGCTATGCAGAGCCTCTATGCCTCTTTGAATGCTTGGGATGGATGTTTTGGGTAAAGTGATAGTCCAGAGACCTTGAGAGCATTTAATCCCATTCTAACTTGGCAAGACAACAGAAAATTAAACCACTGAACTCTTCACTTCTAGCAGCTCTGGAGAGGTTTTGGGGGAAGGATGTGGTAGATATTGCTGTGTGGGACAGGACAATGAAATTACAGGTCCATCTCTGTTCTCCCTGCTGTGAGTGCTGGCAGCAATCACACCAGTTTAGAAGGTCAGCTCTCTAAAAAAGAAAATGTGCAGCCCCTCAGTGCACACCCTGCACCTGGACAGGCAGGAGCCTGCTCAGTGCTCATCCTTGCACAGCCTCAGCCTGCAGCAGTTGTACAGTACCCACTACATGACAAAATTTGGGGCAGGTAACACAACACAAAAAATGCCAGGAATGAGATTAGAGCAGAAAAGAACCTGGGAGGAGGACAGAGTCAGCCAGTGGGAATCTCACTGCCTTGTAAGAGTTTGTGGCTGACAGGATAAAAGCTCCAGAATTTAGGAAATCGTAGGAAAGCTCCTTGAATTTCAGGGTCAGTGGTTCAGTTATTAATGAAGGTGACATGATTTGATATGAGAGTCAATGACCCCGGATCACAGCTAAGCCTGATCGCTGAGCCTTACACTAATTTAAACTTCTGTGGGATTTTTATTATCAGACATATTAAGAGGTAAGTGCTCCATGGTATAGACAATAAAATAACAATGTACAAGCAGGCCAACAAATTGTTACGGAGTCAAACCTCTCATCAGGGACGAGTCATCTTTGCCTGGTCATGATTTCCTGGAGAACTGAGTTTAAATTGGAGGCTTTTAAACAGTCACATCTCTAGTTGCCTGTGTGTTTTGGAAACGCTTCACTTCTACTGGCATGGGGGTCAAAGTTTTTTGCCTGAACCAGGAGGAAGATAGAAGTGTTTACTCTGTAGTTGTATACACTGCTCAGTTCTAATGAGGATGAATCTGTTGCCATGTCCAAAAAACAGAAGTGAGAGCAACTAAATCATGAAGCAAACTTACAACAGCAATTTAGAAAAATGAGAGAGATGGAGCCACTTTAGAGATGTGAATGAAAGAAGGGGATTATGGAGTCCTTTTGAGGGGAGACATACTTGGTAGGGCTCAAGTGATGGCACAAGGAGTATCTTCTGTGGAGAACAATGAAAAGCTCCAGGACTTCATGCCTAATGAGTACTTCCCAGTTTTGGGGGTCCCTTTACCCTGAATTCTGCTTGACTCTTGTTTCACCCCACCTACTCCCCTCCCAACCCCAGCAGCAGTGTTTTCTGCTCTTGCCATGTCTTTGAGCCCTGCTTTTAGGAGCAGAGAGCATCATTTACACAGTGGGGTACATCGTGCTTCTGTTCACCACTGTGAACCGTGGCAGAAATCTCCTCTGTGGCCAGCTCGCCAGCCTCTCCTTGGCATGGCCCCTGACTTTGACATATCAAAAATAGCAATGTGAAAATGAAATACGAAATATTTTCATAGAAAAAAATATTCCAAGCAAAGCAAAACACAGCGACTCTTGGCTCCTTGTCCTTTAACATGCATATTCAATGTGCAGGAAGCTAGGAAGAGCTATTCATGGGGTTGGCTTGTTTTTGTTGGTTTAGGTTTGGGGAGGGGGGAGCATTTTCAATGAATGCTGGATCCTTCACAAATTTTAATAAGTGGTTTAAACCACAGTGATCCCTTACCCCCCTCCCCTTCCCTTTTTTTTTTTTTTTCTTTTTTTTTTATTAAAGAGTGTTTAATTTCTGCAAGGACATTTCACTTTAAAAAGAAGAAAGGGCTGCTCCATGAGAGCTGTGCAAAGCTTTTTCTAGTCATTTCCAACAATATATTTTGGAACTGTTCCCAGTAAACAGGCCAGATTAGCAGCCTTTGGTTCACATTTTACATTGTTCCTGAGATAGGGGAGCTCTGAATAGCAGACTGTCCATACTGTTTGGTTGCAATAAAGCTAATTCTATTCAGTATACTATAGCAGTATGATAGCACTTGTGTAGGATTTCCCTTCGCTTGCATATTTATAGGGTCTTGTAGAGCTCTGCTGTAG